AGCCTGAACTTGCAGTTTCTCAAGAATTCATGCCTTCTTGCGAGTTGTTTTGGGGAATGCACTGTCTTGTTTTTCATTGGCAAACTTTAGGGCTCTTCTTGTTCCAGTGGAGAGTCCTCCCTACCCATATTGGGGACAACTAGGCAGTGATATCTAGGAGTCTGAAGTGCAGGAATGAAGTTGGACTCAAGAGTGAATATTTAAAGTCAAGAGCCTGGATGAGATCTCCAGAGAAAGGAAGTTTGAGGATTGAGCCCTGGGCCCCCAGGGCTTGATGGTGAAGGTAATGAAGAGAAAGTAGCAAAGGAGGTAGCTGACCTAGGATTCTGGGAGCAGAGGCAGAAAAGAGGTTCCAGGGGCCAAGAGTGGCCAAGTCTGTTGAAGATGTTCAATGTGTGTCAGCTGGACCACATTTCAGTGCAACTTTTATCCCTTTCTTCACAGAACGAGAAGAAGCCTGTGCAAATGATGTTTAAGAAATCTACTTTTCAAATGACCTACATAGGAGAAATCTTCACCAATATCTTAGTGCTTCCCTATGTCAACAAGGAGCTGAACATGATCATCATGCTTCCGAATGAAAACACCGCCTTGAGCACGGTAACGAACGCACAGTAATGCGCCATCTGTGCCGGTCGCATCACGCTAATATGGTGGGACAATGGCATTTGGATTTCGGGTGTAATCCCTCTCCTACTTATTATATTTTTTCTAAGTTTTTATTGTGAATTCAGTGATAGTTTACATGGAAGAACATTGGTTTTACACCATTGTTTCATTGCAATAATTACAGTCTCTTCTGTGCTTCCATCATTCAACAGTGTTTGCTTCCATTCCCTCTGGTTTCTTTTTGGGGGTGAGAGGGAGAGGAGGATGGACATGAAAACCACTGAGGAATATGTAATCATTTAAACAACCCAAGGGCACATTCTGCAAGCCTGCCTCCTGGCCGCCAGCACACAGCCTTTCTCTTTTCATGAGTTTAGAGTCCTCAGCTGTTCTATCTCTCCATGTCATTATCTCTGCCTCCATCTCTGGTGTCGCTGCTTCTCTGTGTAGGGTCCCATGTGAATGCTTTTTCTTAATGAAACAAATCACAGACCCCTTCAAGTTCAGGGCAGAGAGGGGATGGGCAAGGAGGGCCCTAGTTAAAGGAGACTGTTGCTAGCATAGAAGGTCCCTATCAACATCGTGTATATAAGACAGACCTAGACAGAAGCCTACTGCCCGTACATATGTAAAGAACTTTTACAAGTAAAGAAGAAAAGAGTAAGTAGAAAACTTTGTATAGAAGTTCATAAAAAAATAAAATAACGGAAGGCCAGCAAACATATGAAAATGAATTACCTTCAAAGCAATGCAAGTAAAAACCATCCAAAACCATGTTTAATTTTTCAGGCTGTCAAATTACAAAGGTAGGTCATGTCTGTTATTAGTGAGAATAAGGAGACAAGAGCTTTCATTATACGTGATTAGAATGTCAGTTAGCACAGCTTCTTGAGAGAGCAAGTTAGCAGTTTCTGTGAAAGATTTCCAGGTGCGCACACTTTGGCCTAGCAGCCCCACAGGTTACTCTCTGCCCTGCAGGATGGTGGTACAGGTTTGCAGAGATGCACAGGGTGTTTAGCACAGCATTGTCTATAATGGTAAACGTACTGAAAGTACACTATGTCTGTATGGGAATGAGTAAGTACATTGTGAAATGTCCCGACTGAGTATTTCTTACGCAGCCTTAAGGTTCAGTAGAGCTGTGATCACTGACATGGAGAGATTCCCAGACACAGAGGAAAGTGAACATAATAAACTGCAGGGAAAGAATAAGAGCCAGTCACCTCTCCCAGCTCTCTCTGCTTCACATCTGGGCTCAATAATCCATTGCAATGGGGTTTGTTAGGAAAGACAGCAAGGTACCTTTCAGGATCAAACCCAACTCAGGACTTAGTATTTCTCTAGTCAGGAACACTTCTTGTCTGCCACACTGCTCTCAGGCCTCACTCTAGTCTTTGGCGTCTCAGCCTTGAGGTCCCTTGGCCTCTTCTCTGCTAGAACCCATGCTACAAAGCTCTTTTAAAAGTCAGTCCGTGAATGCCCAAAGGGCACATTCTGCAAGCCCGTCTCCTTTCCTTAGGCACTCAATCTTCTTCCCAACCTGGCTAGGTGGTTTCAGCTTTGCCCTGCAGGAAGCATTTTTGTGGTAGAGATATTCTAACTCTGACATTCAGGGCAGACATCTCTGGAATGCCTCTGTCACTAATCTGAATCACATGGGGATCTTGTGATAAATGCAGTCACTGAAGCTCCCAGATGAGGCTGAGGCTGCTCTGCCCTGGACCTCATTCTGAGTATGAAGGTTATAGTCACTGATGGGTAAGTGAAAGAGTATTTTGCTTTTTTAGAAAGGTAATCCTTACACCTGTGATGGATGAACTGCCAGAAAGACAAAGGGCTAGATCAGACAGGAGCTGCTGTGGCAAAGCTGACTAAGGCTGTAGCAGTGAGGACAAGAGGAAGGGCAAGAGTGGAGAGAGATTCAGGAAGTTAAATCAACATGACGTGGGTGGATTCACTGGAAGGAGGCCGAGTGTAAGAGATTGTCACCTTACCATGCCTTCAATAAAGTAGACCACCCAACTTTAGAGAACCACAGTTCACTCACAAATGGCATGGAACCTGTGTCGAGTTCTAAGCTTCTATCTCAGAGAACAGATTTGCATTTCTAGTTTGACAAATCAAGGGTAGAAATGTGAAACCATCTTCTGGTTGAAGGGCTTAGCCTTGTTGTACCCTCCTCCTGGAGTTATGCTGTCCAGTAAAGTAGCTATAGCCACCTAAGGCTATTTAAACTAAAATTAAATAAAATAAAAAATTCTGGTCTGCATTACCTACATTTGAAGCATTCATTCGCTGCCTTTGGCTGGTGGCCGCCATATTGGATAGCACGAGTCTAGAGCATTAAAGTCGTCAAAGAAAGTCCTTCTGGGCAGCTCTGTTGTAGGTCTTAAACTCTTCACCTTTCTCCTTCCAGGTGGAAAAAGAACTGACGTATGAGAAATTTATGGAGTGGACAAGGCCAGACAAGATGGATGAGGTGGAGGTAGAAGTCTCCCTTCCTCGATTCAAGCTGGAAGAGACTTACAAAATGGAGGACGTACTTTACAGTCTGGGCATGACCGATGCCTTTGACCAAGGCAGGGCAGACTTCTCTGGAATGTCATCCACGGGAAACCTGTATCTATCCAACGTTGTGCACAAGGCCTTCGTGGAGGTCAATGAGGAAGGCACAGAGGCAGCGGCAGCCACGGCTGCCATCATGATGCTTCGTTGCGCAAGAATCACCCCCCAGTTCTGTGCCGACCACCCCTTCCTCTTCTTCATTCAGCATGCCAAGACAAAGCATATTCTCTTCTGTGGCCGCGTCACCTCTCCCTAAGGAAGAGGACTTATTGGCTGTGGCTCTTTTCGTTTCTCCTAACCACCTGCCTTTACACTAACACTTCCAATGTGCCTTATTAGCGCATGGTAACCATTCAGAAATAAAGGACCTGATGATTTCCTGGTTCTGATCTCGTGTGTGTATGCTGTTGTGTTGTTTTTTTTCTAGGCTCAGAAATGGAGTTTCTGAGGGTCACCAACTTGGCAGTGAGTTCCCAGCAGAACTGCTCAGCTCAGAATACAGTATGTGCTCCATGACCCTCATCCCCACATACAACATCCCAGCTGTCCCAGGCCTTTGTGTTTTCCATGTGGCCAGACCGTATAAGCTGCTGGCTTCTCTTCTTCAACACACAAGGAAATAACCGTTACTTTTCTAATTCCCTACTCAATAGCATATGCTCAAATTGAATGTATATTGAGTGTGTACTCAGCATATTACCATCTGTATTGAGATCCTGTATGTTTTTTATGCAGGATTCTAAAGTGAAGTGAATTAGAAGCCGGACAAGGAGGTATAGGAGCAGGTCTCGGAAGTACTCAGGGGAGCCCTGGTCCCAAACTGTTTCAACTCCTCAAAAGTCAGTACAAGTGAGAAGCATAGATAACTCAGACGGAGAGCAATCAGCTCCTTCCCCTTTTTACCTGGTTTGCACCCTGTTTTTCTATTGTGTTTCTGCTTTTATCGTGGTCTGTATCCACAGGGCTGTGTTCCCCATGGGCCTGTTTACATGTTCAACTCTTCCACCTGCTCTGAAAATAAAGGTCTCTCTCAGGAAGTGGAGATGGTTAGACCTTTCCCATCCACAATCATGGAGTTGTAGACAATGTCATGATGGTTAGACCACTCCCATCCACAAGGACGGAATTTAGACCATGTCATGATAGTTAGACCGCTCCCATCCACAGGGATGGAATTTAGACCACGTCATGATGGTTAGATCTCTCCCATCCACAGAGACGGAGTATAGACCACGTCATGATGGTTAGATCTCTCCCATCCACAGGGATGGAGTATAGACCACATCATGATGGTTAGACCTCTCCCATCCACAGAGATGGAGTTGTAGACCACATCATGAGTAAAATTCGGATGGCTTTCTGTTATACTTCCTGGGTAAAAAGAGTAGGAAAGGTATCTGAGGTTTCTGTGGATACTGGTGTTGCTAGCTGAGAGGTGGCTCTGCTCAGTGCCATGGGAACCAACTGATGGCACAGAGTGACGAGGCAATGCCTGGCTGCTTTCTGAGGGCAGCTAAGGGGACTGCTCCACTGACTGGCTTACTCACACTTCTCTCCTCCCACCTCTGAAAAGCACTGTTTGTATTTTTCTCAATATTAGGATAAGGGGACTTGGAAAGAGGATTCCAGGGTGGGGAGTGGTAAGTTAACACGATGCATCCACTATAGAGGGCACCTCCAAGTGTTGTCATGACCAGCACCATTAGAATGCCTTTCCCCCCGGGGCCTGGTGTAGGCAGGCCATCTTCTGTGAATTCACAGGGTGACTGGTTAAGTACAGGGTAAACACTGAAGGTGTACCTATGTGAGTAAAAGAAGGAACAACAGTGAGCAAGAAGGAACGCAAACACCTTCTCCATTGTTTCTAGGTTGCAGCCCCACCAGTGTCTGCTAAAGCACCCTTCATTTGCTTTCTCTAGAAAGTGTTCTTCAATGTGTGTGGTGCACATGAGCAGTAGTGGAACTCTGGTTCATTGTTTCTGAGATTGCCATCCCGGGATCATTTCCAAGGACCAAGCTGAGTGAGCGAGAAGTCCATGTGATAGCCGGGACTGCTATTCCCAGGACACTCCAAAATAGGGCCTGGCCTTGAGTCAGATGGTGTGATTGGGCAGTCTGCTTACCAGAAATGCTCAATGGACCAGAAAGTACCTCCCTGTGTGTTAAAGTTTGCACACCACCACCAGCTGCTGTAGAGTGGATTCCTAGTCCTAAGAAACATGTATATGAGAGTAGAATTGTGCTCCATAGTAAACACGTATGTGAGAGTAGAACCGTGCTCCATAGGAAGCATGTATATGAGAGTAGAACTGTGCTTCAGAGGAAACATGTATGTGAGAGTAGAACCGTGCTCCATAGGAAACATGTATATGAGAGTAGAACCGTGCTTCATAGGAAACATATATGTCAGAGTAGAACTATGCTCCACAGGAAACATGTATGTCATAGCAGAACCATGCTCCATAGGAAACATGTATGTCAGAATAGAACTGTGCTCCATAGGAAATATGTATGTCAGAGTAGAACTGTGCTCCATAGGAAACATGTATGTCAGAGCAGAACTGTGCTCTATAGGGTGTGTGTGTGTATATATATATATATATACACACACACACATAGAGCCTCATTCGTCCCCTGCGGAGTGGCTGGTAGTTTCAAACTGCTGACTCTGCAGTTTGCAGCCCGATTCGTAACCACTATGCTACAAGAGCTCCATATAGATAGATAGATAGATAGATAGATAGATAGATAGATAGATAGATAGATAGATAGGGAGTCCTGGTTATGGCACTGTGGGCTTATGCGTCAGACTGCAAAGTTGTTTGAACTGCAAGGTCCTCAGTTCAAGTTCACCAGCTGGTCTCTTAGTTTCAACCTGACAGGGGTTGCATTTGCTTTTGGAGGTTGACCTTTTCTGAATTTGCTCTGGGGAGGGGCAGCCCCTGTGGAGCCCTGAGTTCTCGACTAGAATACACAGAAGAAAAAGGACATGCTTGTATACAACCTGAATACTTAATACATAATTCAGAGACTTCCAAAAATGGGGGAATCAACTGACATCACATAACCCTTTGTGTGCCCAGCTTGTTGTTGCAGCTCATGCCGCCTGTCCACTCTGAGTCTCAGTAATCCTATCCGACAGAGAGCTGTTCCATAGGCCTCCCAGTAGCATCTTTCCAGAAAGGCGCTCTGGTAGTGGAGTGGATTATGAGCCGGGCTGCTAACCACAGGTTAGCAGTTCAAATCTACCAGCTTATCCATGAGGGAAAAATGAGACTTTCTGATCCTGTAAGCATATACAGATTGGGAAACCCTACGTGGGGTCACTATGAGTGAGATCTGACTCCACGGCACATCACCACCACCACCATTCTTGATATGAGCTGATTGCCACATCTTTCTTTCACTAAGTCACTGGTGGGTTTGAACCACAGACCTTTCAGTTAACATTGAGTTCCGCTTATCATTTGAACCTTCAATCCTTCCTGCATACCCTCCAGGTGTCTGGCCACAACTAAACCTAAGGCTACACTGAGAACCAGTAAAGTAATTATCACAGGAAGGGAAGAGCCATCCACTTTTTCACACTTCATCTGCCAGGGATCTCTTGCTGTCTGATTGGTCCAGCAGGACAAGGTCCACTAGAAGACCAGACAGTTCCCACACCTAGTCTCCACTGAGCTGACCACCACGTTAGCTCAGAATATCAGAGCTGGAGGGGACTAGGGAACCACTAGACCAATAAATAAATAACGTTATGACAAGCATTAGGTAACACCAGATAGAAGTTGTCAAAGACTTCATTTGGCTTGGATCCAAAATCAACGCTCATGGGAGCGTCAGCAGAGAAATCAGACCACATGTTACATAATGCAAATCTGCTGCAAAAGACCTCTTTAAAGTGTTAAAGAGCAAATATGCCACTTAAGGACTAATGTGCACCGGACCCAAGTCCTGGTCTATTTAGTCACCGCATATCATGTGTAAGTTGGACAATGAGTAAGGACAACTGGAGGAGAATTGATGCATGTGGATCATGGTGTTGGTGAAGAATATTGAAATAACCATGGACGGCCAGAAGAACAAGCAATCTATCTTGAAGACATGCAGCTGGAATTCTCCTTAGAAGCAAACATGGTGAGACTTTGTCTCACGTGCTTTGGGCAAATTATCAGGAGGGACCAGTCCCTGGAGAAGGACATCATGCTTGGTAGCAGGCCAGCGAACAACAGCAAGACTCTCAACAGGATAGGCTGACACAGTGACTGCAACAATAGGCTAAACATGCACGAAAACCCTGGGCAGCACATGCAACCACCGTGAGACAGAATTGACTCAACAGCAGAAGGTTTTGCATGTCTCTTATTGGAGGAAGGGAAGGAAGAAAACTAGAAATTACTGATTGGAATACCTCAAAGGGGTTCTAGAACTTGCCTAGTGAAATAGGCCTCTTGCAGAGCCTTTGCAGTGTATAGGACCTTAGGTAGAATCCTGAGCCCCATGCAGAACGTTCTGAGGTGGGACATTCTCATTAGAAAGGACAAGCAGACCAGCCCAGAACAGCTAGAGAAGACAGAAGATACATCTTCAAAGAAAGATCAGCAGGAAAAACCCAAAACAAAAATGGCAGTATGACTTACTACTACAAGCATAAGCAAGTTGTTTGCTGGGAAGCCATTTAGGCAAGCAATCAAGTCCCTTCAGGACAAACTCCCCTCTAAGACTGAAACTCAAAGGGAACACATGAGCAGGCATGCATGCTTGCTGATGACCACATTGGTCTACTGGTGAGTGAAAGAGGGGGAAAGGCAGCAATGAAGAAATGGGCTGAGTTCAACCATGTTCCATAGACTCCCATTGACCTGGAGATGAGAGAGAGAAGAGTAAGGTCTGGTTGGTCCAAAATGTGGTGAGACCTGGGGACTCCTGAGCCCATGGACAAGGGCATAACCATAGAGGGCTAGAACTGAGAGTGAAGCATCCAGCTGATATGAAATTGGGGGAGACGCACAAGAACACTCAAACTTGCAGATAATACCTCTTTTACCTAGCCTCGATGGCTTGATAATCAGGACTAAAGGAAAATTAAGAAAATATATATATAAATTGCTACAATTCAGTGAATTTGACCTGTACTCATGGAGGTAGTAACTCTAAATACCAACAGAGAGGGAAGGAGTCTTCACATCAAGTACCAATGCTATCCCCTCTGTATACAAGGTAGGTAGGGACCAGCAACTTAGACATTGACTACCT